TAGAATTTGCACTATAGTTCTTAATATGTTTAATTTTATCTAGACCTATCTTTTCGAATAACTTATAAATTTTTACATCTCTTTGAGTGAGTTTTTTTGCGCAAGGTATCTCGTGATATATTTGGAACTTGTAAGCCCAAATCTTGTGATCATTTTTTACGAAGAATACAGAGTTGATTTTCGATTTCATTATAAATTAAGGTTCTTGCTTTTTTCTCGCCAATTTTATTTTTACTACTCACCTCACCAACTTGAAATTCAAAATTCCTACCATAAAGAGACCAGCACATGATTTCTTCCTGATTAGCCTTGAAGCTCGATCTTCTGCGCCTATGGCTGCATCGCATAACTGAGCCAAATGTTGTGATACCTCATTAATGTCGAATGAATTAACAATACACTTCACAGAACCATTCATGCCCTAAAATTTTTCGGGACGGGCCGTCTCGGAAATTTCGATCTGTCCTGGTTTAATATTTTTTGATATAGGGTGATCTTGTGACCTCGGCTCCAAAGAAGTATTGAACAATTCTTGCCAGAGTTTATCTGTTCCTTTTTTCTTATGGCTAACCAAAAATAAACCTTGATCTCGAAGCTTCTTCTCTCTATTGCGTTGCTTTATCTCACCACTAACTCTTTCCTTATTTTTTAGATCCAGAAATTCATCAATCTCTTTATTTTCTGACGATTTAGGCTCGGATGCGTATGCATGAATATTGGAAGAAATATTAAATGGTGCTTCGTGGAAAATAGAATCTTCTAATACGTGTACGCAATCATTTTGTGTCTGCTTCTGTTCCAATTTTGTGACTCTGAGTTCAGCATTTTCAGCAGTGAGATTACTGGTGTCTGTTTTATTTTTCCTTTCCAGCTCTTCAATTCTGCCCTTAAGCTCAGCATTCTCTTCCATAGCCCGCTTTAATTTCGTATTCTCAGCCTTAACTTCAGCATTCTCTTTTCTAAGTTCAGAAATCTCGGCCAAAAGCTTCGAATTTAATTCTTTCAATGAATCGATTTTGGATTGAGTATTCGACATTACTTTATATAGAAAGCACATTCATTCAAAATCTTTTTATTATGTAGATATCGGCATAAAGTACCGAAGTTAAATTCGTACGGATTATTTTATAACATACTGTATAAAACCATACGCCATTTTAAAATCATGATAAGGTTACTTGTGACGATAACCTTGATCATTAAGTCACGAGACTGAACTTCGGTCACAAGACCAGTTTATCGTGCGTATATGAGATGAGACTTCTTTATCAATTTCTGCGGGTCTATTGTCAAAAAAAAAACATATCCCGTAAAAAATGGATGAGCCTATTTATACTTTTGTTAATGGTGTTCCTACTGATCCTCAGGTTTTGGTAATCTATAACGGTTTGAGTAGGGTCCAAAGAGCCAGGTACAATACACTCGATGGCCAAGGGAAAAGCGGTTATTTGCATGCAGTTGCGGAAGAAAAGAAAAAACCGGTATGTTTGCTTAGATAGTGTATATTTTCCATTGAACTTTTCACCGAGATTTGTTATAAATGTTAGTGGTGGCGTCGCTTAATTGATTTATTTCGATAGCGACATTATCTCAATCTTGTTTATGCTGTGATCAATTTACTTTCCATCATCGGTTTAATGTCTGGAGCCACTTTATTAAATGCTGGAATAATTACAAGCCTGAACAAGATGTTATCCTTCACCGATTATGTATTCTCTTTGAGACCCAAATTGTGATCATATTAATAACAACAATAACAGAAAGATTGTTTAATAAGTTTCAAAACGCGTTATTTATCATCGTTCCAATAATTACTGGGATAGGGTTGGCGGTAGCGGGAGGCCTAACTTGGATGTTGCCAAATACCGCGATTTCTTTTGTAGGAGTTGGGATATTGTTTGCGGAAAGTGCTATGTATTATTTTAGTGTATACCGTTAATAATAATGATGGTGAGGTTAGATCTTGAAGGATGCCATTGCCTACATCCACTGTGCATTTAACCACTACCTACGGCACTGTAATCGTATACGGATTCATTCTGTGTCAATACCTAAATTTATTGTGTGGTTGATTGAAAAGACACTCACGTGCCTTGAGAGAGCGCACAGTTATTTTTTTATTTTTTCTTGGCTCATGGTAGTGGGTTTTACTATTCCTTGTCGTCTCGCCCTCTTCTATATAACGCTTTTTATTTGGAATTAGTACGATTTCAGGAACCCGAACATCCTCCTCATTTAATACCACTTTATCCGAAATAAATTGTGACCTCTCGAATCTCGGTTGCTGGTCGAAGCGGAATTGATCTTTTTCCGAACATGAGAGGAAAAAGGATTTCTGAAGTTATATCTGAAAATGATCGTTGGCTCGATCCAGAAGAAGCATCGGATTGATTTTCATCATTTTGTTGGACGGATGTGTCTTCGATAGGTTAGATTCTTATTTCGGGAAAAAAGGCACTTTGTGCCTGAACAACGGCATAATGTCGATTAATTTCGTTTGGGATCGTTAAGATTGATCCATTAATTGATTCGAATTCTGTTGCAACTCTATTATGATAGGTTTGAAGGATACGTTCAATTTCATCAGGTCTGGCATCACGATTGGCAAGCTCGGTGGTGAGTCGGGCATCTCGGTTTGCAAGAATTTCATTAATGGTATCACGTGCAGAAGGATCGGAATTATGCTTGACGTCGATGTCTTGCTTACTGTAGTGGTACATGAAAAATAAAACGTGGCACCGACAAGTAAGTACATATAGATTTTCTCTACGAACATCAATTGGCCGGCGAAATCCAAAAATGGAGCGATTCCCGAAACAACAAGCGATGACATCTACAGTATAAGGGGAAATTGCTCTGTTAGCATATATACATGAATGTGGGGGAGATGTCATAGCATATAAACGAATAAACAAACCTTAATCGTTAGAAATTAGATATTATTTCGAGTGTATGAACCTTAATTGCTAATTATAACGAAGGAGTAAGGTCTGTTATTTTTTCCGCCTTTTATATGCGTCTCTGACACTAGCTCTGCTATTGCAAAGCAGGCCTATAGGGACGACTCAAAGAGTCATGGGTAACCCACTTTACGTAGGTGAAATGTGTTAATTGGATTAAAAATTCTTTTTGCAATAGTATCTATTCCGATATAAATCCCAAAATTAGAAATTTTATATGAGTCAGAGTCTCTATGCTCCGCATATAGATTATAAACATATAACCCTTACCAAATTTTGTCAGTGCGAATGTATATTAACGTAAATCAAAAAGTCTTTATTACTCGAAGTAGCCCCTAAGGGCCTGGTGTAAATAAAAATACTAAGATTACGCCATGTACATGTGGAGCAGAAAATCTATTCATTACTTTGTAAATTTTTTGATCCTAACCTTTTTACTGGTGGGGGAATTATCTATATTGACCCGATCCTTTAACAAAATATTCAGTAGAGGTAGTCGTAGCCATCGTTTCGAAATGCTTTATCCACTATATGCTTCTTCTTATTGGTATGGTATTTGATAAAATTTTTAGCATATGTTTATAATTTTTTTGTTGGGAGCACATAATACAACTAAAAAATTGAGTGGTGAGTGTTTAAAGGGAGAAAGTTCTAATTTCCGTCATCATTACTATTAAAAATAATATTGATAATGGTATCTTTCGCCTCTATCCAAGCTTCGATTTTATTTAACAATTTTTTGAAACTTTTAAGTACTTGCAAGTGTGCCGGACTGAGATCAATGAGTTTTATAACAAATATTGTGAATGAAATGAATTATCAGAACTTTAAAGTTAATCTGAATAAATATATACAGGCACATGTAGGTATAATATCAAGATCGTGGAATTGTTTCGGTTGTTCTCCATAATTGCAATCGAATATGTGCGGAGAACAGCTACCCTGACTATTATTACAGTAGCAATAAATCTCTGCTATATAAAGACAAATTCTGAAAATTTAATGTAATGTTTAACGACTATTTTTTATATAC